AGGTTTACTACCTTTCTCAAACACAGTAAAATATTTGTATGTAAACAAACACAAAAACAGGGATATTTTTTAAAGTTATTTCTAACGCTTCTGTTGAACATTATCGAAGCTTTTGAATTAACTTTCTAATCTCTCTTATTACAAATGTCGAATGACAGAGATAGCTACTTCACATTTTCTGCTTTAATGTTATTCCGTCACTTTAATTGTTTTATTACTATTTGTCGAATCTCGAATAAAAACACATTAGTTTCCGACAATGTGTGTAGTAATTGCTAATAAAAAAATTAATTTGTGTTATATGTATAATAAACAATACCGACGCTAGAGGAGAGAAGTTTTAATAGAAAAAAGAAGCACTTTAGAAAGCGACGGATTATTGTGGCTTGCAGATAAAAGTCAGGACTGCAACAAAACGACTATAGCTCAGCATGACAATGCAGGTGCCTCATCCCACGTCAAATCTCAGCATGATACCGCACGAGACGACGGGTACTGGACCGATTGAGTAGACTATAATTGTTTAATGGGATTAGAATCCCAAGCAAAGTTTACGCGTCGTCTGGAAAGAAAGGTGCTGATATTTATCCAACATTAGACCAGACTAAACCCAAATTTACTAATTTAATCCTCGCAAATTTCGACAAACACGTCTTCCAAATATTTACCTGAGAAATCACACCTTATCGATGAAAAATCGTGCAGTATAATTGCTTTTGTCTTAGTTCTACCATATTTCTCAATAACAATAGGAATCTTTATAGACAAGATGCTAATTATTATTAACTCTATATGATAAATTAAATTGCGCTACACAAATGTTTTGATAAGTCCATTATCTCACAGTCTCGACGCGAAAATCATATAATTGTCAAAAGTATTAAATAAAGAACCTTATTATTTATAGATTTTTAGGTACACATTAATTTGTTTAACTTTAATTTAGCATTTTACTATCAAAATGAATTACTAATATTATAGTAATAGTAGTATAAAAAACAAAATACTCACACACACAAAATGTATTTCCTATGGAAATTTGTCCTGTAAGTATTATTGATTGACGTTAACGGTGTACTAAGATCTCATATTTATATCAATAATGTTATTAATTTTAACTGTATGAAAATGAGACATTTAAACTCAAAGATCAAAATGTACGAAAAGTCTGAATTATTACACATATTGCGATAAAGATAAGGTATATGTAACTGCGCGTTCAAGTGAAAAAGATTAGCCGACAGCAAGAATCAGAACTATCAAACGTCACTGTGGCTCGATCAAGATGAAGATTCCCTGGTCTGATGCACGGAACAGGACGGATGTCGCGGGTGGCCGCAGGTGGCGCCCTCGATATAAGCTCTTCTGACTGAACTGCTGATACGGGACCATGCTTCTAAAACTCTCACGGTGGAATGTGTCATCCTGTCACTGCGCTCTCGCATGGGGTAAGAGATATCCCATGGGCCGTCACGCGTCCTTCGGACGAGCGAGCTCTTGTCACTTTTCTTGGATCCCCTTATTGCCAAAAATGTTCACGACTCATCTGTTAAATAATAATTAGGATAATGTTCTTTTACAATTGACTTAATTAATATAATATTTTGATTATTAGCAACTGCAGCAGAGTCTCTTGACTTAATATTATATATTACATTTTTAAAAATCTTTAAGACCGTACAATGATAAACAACAACAAGAAGAAAGAAGCCAAAATTATGTAATATTCTTTGCAATACAAGAATTACAGAATTTTAAATACGACAATTTAAAATTATCATCTTCAGATTTTAATATGTCATTCAAAACACTATTAAGATTCATGATGCCTATGAGCATCAAAAATTGTTAATCAATTAAATTCGTGATATTACTACGGTAGTAAGTATGTATGCGTCAATGCTGAAAAACTATCAGCGTCGCGATTTATATGGGGAGACTACATACGCAGTATACAAAATTCACACATAATTATAATAAGTATTGTGAACCAGTTTTGACCGTTATTGGCTTCCTTCTTCTTGTTATTATATTACATTTCATTATATTATTCATAATTCAGCCTTTTTTGTATCATGTTATATGTATATCATTGATACAAGACTTTTTAGAGTTACGATTATTCTTAACTGTAGTGTTATTAAAGAAGTTTATTACTTTATAACACTAATTAATCTTTAAATATTTATATTATATATAGAGTAAACTTTCAAAAAGTATTTTATCCAAAATTTGTAATTTTTAGAAAATGAGAAAAACAGAAACTACACACAAGAAAACTATACACTTTACAAAAAATAATAATATAATATGTCAACCAGGAATGTATTAAACAAAATTGCTGTGAACAATTGCTAAAAATGTTAAATAAATGCATTTTGTTTGTCTTTAGTTAAAATATGCACATCACACTTCGAATCTCTATACCTTTTTTCAGTCATATAAATTGACGATGAAAAAATGTTTTCTAAACATCTCAAAGTAGCTTATTATAATATCAGTTTTTTTAAATATTAAACACTACACCATTTCTAACTGAAAAAAAATAAAATTTTGGACAAAGTAGCTTATTATAATATCAGTTTTTTTAAATATTAAACACTACACCATTTCTAACTGAAAAAAAAAATAAAATTTTGGACAAAACGCATTTTGAAAGTCTGCGCTCCCTATATATAAAATAAATATAATACATAAAGTACGAATAGAATAATTAGTATAAATATAAAATAAAGTATGCGATTTAATTCGATCGTATTATCACACCTACATACAATCATATTTTTTTACAATTGATAATAAAACAATAGAGAACAAAATTAAAATGAATAAGTTAAATACTAATTTTTTAAAAATATCATCTATCTATTAAAATTGCATTAGAAAAAGATGTTTTGTGTATTTTTAACTTTCAATATAAGTTCTCAAACTTTATTATTAAATCAAATCACTGATGAAATCAATCACTACACAGAGTATATTTTATCTTATATATATTCTGTCTTTTTTAAATTTAATTTGTAAAATGTTGTAATTTGTAAATGCTTATTAAACAGATAGCTCTAAATTTATTGAAAATTTTAAATAAGGGTATAATAATGTAATAGAAAAATGAAATTTTTATGAGGGTGTATATTGAGCTTAAGAAAAAGTATTGTTTGTAGTTTCTAATAATTATATAAAATTATATACAATTGTAAAACTATTAAATCATGTCCCTTGATTTTTTAATTATTTTAAAGATATTTTTAATATTGTATTTAATAAACGGTTAAATTCTCAATTGAATAAATATAAAATTTTATATTTTCTAAATAATAAATTAATAAAAATAAAGTGTTTTAAGTAGAGAAGCACTCAAAATAAAAATTCTTTATAAATTTTAAAAAAGTTTTTCAGAGGTGTAGCGTCGAATGTGATCTAGTCCTTCGCTATATCTTTAGTGTATTGTCATGTCAGGGTTTCGACGACGTGAGGATGATGAATATCCTAGCAGTCTGAAGAGTCACAAATTGTTTCGTGCGTCGGTCGCGCGCCTGTGTGACCGAAATATCTCTTTCTTATTTATTAGCGTGACATTGCAGCTACCAAATTAAATTATCTATCTCTACTTCTTTTTTAGATATTACAAGCCAACACAAAAATTATCTGCAATGATGTACTTTATTTCACATTTATGATATATACTTTAGTGTTTCTCTTCTAAAAATTCATATGTAGGAAATAATAAAATAGATATAAATTTCACCGTTAGTTAACAATCAGTTCTCAGCATTTTAATGAATTTAATATAAGATAGGATATATTTATGCATACAGTAGATCAACCATATAATAATCAAACTATTCAGTTATAATAAAAACGCAGGATGTTTGTGTGTACCTTGATATCTTGAGGCGGGCAAGACACGCAAGTACATAGAAAGACCCGTCAAGAGCGTGAAAAGAAAAAAGGCAGAAGGCACAAAACAACCTATCCAGGGGATGGAAAGGCGGAGGTTGCTTGCCTCCGGATAGCATAGAAGGTGGGTACCGAGATATAATACCCGACTCCTACCCGACGCGACGATAAGTGTCAACTGCAGCGTGCCAGATAAAAAGAAGGAACGAAAAATAAAATTCACACTGGTGATCCATCATGAAGCAGTGGACTCGGGGCGCGCAGACTCATTCGCGATTGGCTGGCACCGCCCAATCGTCATCACGTGACTACGTCTAAGTACCGCCCACCAATAATGGAGACTCCCCCTTGAACTAACCTTACGCAGCGCAATACCTCCACTCTACGACTGGGCGATACGCCCAAGTAAGAGAGAGAAGGAAAACTTAAACACGCCAGACTACTGCGGGTCAGTCTCACCTGTGTGCAGCTTTCCGCTACGCTAGTCCACCTCACCAGTCCACTCCAACGGCCCGTGTTGGACGGATCGACTGCACGAGTGTCCGCACGGATTATTTTTGTAGATGACGGTTAATATTTCGCAGTGCTCGCGAATTGGCATCGTTCACTCTATTCTCGGAAGACTTTAATTATTCACTTTCAGAACGTATCAAATTTAGATCATGGATATTTGCCGTAAAGAGTTTTATAAAGCTGTTATTTATATTTTCTATGTGATTTTAGTGCGCATTTGTGATAACTTGGAGATTTAATAGTTAGTTGCATCTGTGAGTTTGTGTAACCCGATATGGACATTTATCGATTTATTTGAAAGACTTTTATTCAAGATTTCTATATCTTGCCAAGTACTTAAGGTTAATTTTGTGCTGTTTACTGTAAATTTGTTTAATAGGACAAATTTAAATGTTTACTCTTCTGTGGTATTTGTGTGAAATAAAAAATTGTAAATTTTTATACGCAATGTTGAAATAATCAATTGAGGAAACAGTGGTATAATTTTAGCCATGATGTAAATCATTTGTCTTGCTTCCACTTGGACAGTACACATCGGAGTTGCTGAAACAGTGGGTGGTCAATTGATTCGTCTCTCCGTTACGAGGATGATGATGATGGACATGGGCATGTACGGGACCTATGGCAAACCTGACTCATATCCTAACTATGTGTTCTCGGGTCAAGGAAATCATCACCATCACCACCATCACCAGCCTTCATCCGTCGGTGGTCACGTGTCTGTGCCTCCTTCCCCAGAGGTAGCTCCAACTCATTACTACCCCCAGACTGCAGTGGCGCCATATTCTTCATCGTCTTCCGAGAGTTTCTTAACCGCCGATTCGGGCACATCGTCCAGTACACCGCCTCAAGGCTTCTACTCCCCGACGGGTGCCGTTCTCCACGAGAATGGCTCCACCACAGCGATAATCTCTTCGGAGAATGGCCTGAGCTACACCAATCTGGATTACGCATCGTCTTCATCGTATCCAAATCAGCAGCAGCATGCAGTAGCCTCGGTGGATCCGCATCAAAGTTACCACGTTCAACAGCCTGCTTACAGAGAAGATTCTCATCACCATCATCATCACCATCATCCATCCAGTGGTAGCAGCCTGCATCAAACCACAGTACCTCCAACTAGTCATCCAAGAACGGAGCATGATCAACAACTCCATCATCAATCTTCTAGTCATCACCATCACCATCATCACCATCATCACCATGAACCCGATTATCCAATAGCAGTTGGCGGGACTTCGAATTATCTTCATCAACTGCCCTCCTCGGACGAATCTTTGCATTATCAAACTCAGATACAACAGAGCGAGTTTTCCACGCATCCGTCGGCACATTATAAAGAAGAGAACTCGGACACAACTACCTATCACATTTTGCAACAGTCCAGTCACCTTCAACATCCTCATCAGCACGGGCATCATCATCAACAGCAACATTCGCATGCACATCATTCGCAGCAACAACAGCAACAGCAACAGGCGCAAGTACCCACGTACAAGTGGATGCAGGTCAAGAGAAACGTACCCAAGCCAGTCGGTAAGTGGCCACTATCCACACTTGATTTAAATTTCCGGTAGAGTCGACGCCTATGTACAGTGAGCAAACTAGCGTGAAATTAGGTATTCTGTGGGCGCAATCCAGTAGCCATTCGTTAAACCTCGTTCAACTTGATTGCTTGTTCATAGCTTGGTGTATGAAGATGCAGAATCATGGCTGTCTTATCTTTCATGGTTCCGTTATTTGAAAAGCACTATCATTGCCGGATAGTGCGCTACCGTTTTTAAAATTATATAGTCACAGTAATTCAATTCAATTCAACATATATCTGCGACAAATTATGAATATTAATAATTTAGAAATCATTAGTATATTTTACTCTAATTGATTTTATTAATATAAATTTTTTTATGTAACTTTTTTACAGAAGGAGTACGTTATTACTATTTACATGTTCATCATTATGAATGTTTCACATGCATTTTACATCTAATTAATATTACGTATTTATAAAATATGTAAAATCTTTTTATTTTTTATTTATTTATATATTTTTTAACATTAAAAATCATTTATCAAAGATCAGAGATAATATTTATTTTTTTATTGTGCTAATGAAGCAATCTCAGTTTCTGAAAGTCACAACTTAACCAATTGATTCTTGTTAAAGATACACAAAAATTTAGTACATCAAAATCATTATTTTGTAAAGTAACATTTGATAGAAGATGAACAATTTTTACATAGATGGTCTTCAATTAAGATTGTCAAACAAGGCGGACAGTTTGTCAAAGACAGAATGTGACATGCTATTCCGTAATCGTTAAGTCAGTGACTTTCAAACAATCTGTATGTATGAGAATTAATAAAGTGCGACATGTAATCTCGGTTTGCTATAATCATTAATCATACGCGCACCACCCAATAATACTAGCCTTATGAGAACTTAATGTCATTAGTCTGCAATTTGCTATCGTATTTCTTATTGATTTTCCTTTATCTTATCTTTAAAAGAAATGTTCACGTTTCATAAATCTTTAGTCTTAACTAGTTTTTTAATTCCAAATTAAATTAAATTTATCAAATTCAATATAAATTAAGTTTATTACTCAATATTATTTCGACCGTTTTTAAAACTTAAATTTGTTATTGTAAAACGTAATTACGTTTTTCGTAAATACAATCATAATAAATGTGTAGTGTGAATGAGTTTATAACAAAAATTATCATAAACCCATATTATCATTCGGAATCGTATCTATTATGTCCGAGATAAATATTGTTTTCCAAGATATTTATAACGAAAATTTATCAGTACGAATAATATCTTGCCTTAAAATTTGATTTTCGTTTACGCCTATGAGATTGTCGTAAAATCAATTGATAAGATTGGACATAAAATAAATAATAGAAAATAATGACATTGAAAAATACACCTTTCCACCGTTATCATGAATCAACTCTAAATATTAATAAACATATTTATGTAGTCTAAAACATGTTTATTATTATATATTTGAGTATAAATTGTATTCTTTACACTATAAGCTACATTTATATATTTTAATTACAATTGGTTTATACTAATAAAATAGTATGCGTTTATTTAATTATATTTTGGTATGTCTTTTTCCTACATCAAATATTTGTCTCATTGTAAGATTTATTTATACATATATATCTAATATTCTAAAAATCAAAAATAAATTTTTATACAACAGGATCTTTAAATAAAATTTATTGCAAAAAGATTTTAAAATTATTTAATAATTAACCAATAAAAACCTCTTTAATAGTGTTATTCATATATTTTATAAAATAAGTGAATTAGTTGCAACTGTATTTTTAAATACCGAGAACATACATTTTTATCACAATCGTTAAATATATAAATATGACTCAATTTTATTGTACGATGGTAATAGATCATTAATACATTGCGTTAAAACTTAACTAAATAAATCTTTATATACTCACACAAATTTATTAAATTAATTCTTAATAATAAGATAATTGATTTATTAAATAAGTTGGTATATTTATGAACTTTTAAAAACTTTACTCTGAAATGTATTGCTAAGAAAAATACATTCGTTTATTTTCTTGTTTATTGCAATTTGAGTATTCTTATCATCCATCTTTTGTAATAAACAATGAGATATTATAATATATAAAATATAGATAGAAATACTGCATAGATTAGAATACTACATAGCACACAGATTTACAATAATTTAATTAATATTTTTAGCTAACCTTTTATTATTTAAATAAAATATTAAATAAAATACAAAAATATAATTATACAAACATCTAATACAATTTATTAAATTAGTGTAACGTATACGTTTCGAGTATAAAAAAGATCTTTTTTTGTACTGAAGAGGACTCAAAACGAGGGTCGAAACGTTATACTAATTTAATAAATTGTATCTCACACACTTACATTCTGTGTTGGCTCTTATAAGCATTACTTATTATATTTACATATATACATATATAAAAATTAGAATTCATGGTCTGGAATATGTCTAAGTTGACCATATTGGTTTATAACTAAAGAGAGGGCAAAAATCTTTGCCCTCTCTTTAGTTATAAACAAAACATTATGACGAAAATATAAAGTAAATACAGTATTGTAGAATATAAATACAAAATTACAATATATATATATATATATATATATACATATATAATAAATTACAAAAATTAATAATCATCTTTTGGAAGAGAAATCTCAATGACTTATGAAATATTATACATCATGACTAATAACATACTACGACACGTTCTGCATTTTGCTTTATACGGACAATAACAGAATGAACAAACTGAGCAATAAACTGATACAATCAAGTCAGACGGACAGCCTGCACGATTTACTGTTATCTGTTGAATTCACCGTGTAATTATCAACAACGAATAGGGCATATTAGGCACTAGGCCATATACATACATGTTGGAAAATTTGTGTTAAATTTAACACATTTTACGTGTTTCTAACGGACTCAAATCTATGTGTTAAAAGGTAATGCAAATATCATTTAAGAAGATAAACTGAAAATAAATACTGACACAGTTTGTAAATAAATCGTGTGTGAGAGAGCATATTTTTTCAGTAAAATCTACATTTATAGTGTGTTAAATTAACACACATATTTTATTTATATATCTTTTTCATTTTAAAATTTACGTTTTAAAACACATTATTTTTATATTGTTTATTCATCAATTCATAAATCGTATTACTTTGACACTAAGAAATATTGAATCAACTTAACACAAACCATTAAAATAATACAATCGCGTGTTATGTTAAGTTAATACTCGAACATATTAAAAAATTCAACACAAAATGTTAACAAGGATTTGAGTGAACCGTTTCCAAATATAAATACAAAATGTTTCCTGCTGTGTACACGGAGAGAAGGATTTCTTAAAATTTACCCTGAAAATATAGTAATTATGGTATAATACAATAAATTTAAAGATTTTTACCATGCATTTCAGTAAAATTAATCATACTTATTTTACATTTTATTGTAGTTTTATTAATGAATGTGAGAGATTTACATAAAATTTCTTCGAAATATAATGTTGTCCCACGATTACCATATTTTCAGGGTAAATTTTAAGATATAGTTAATATAATTAAACGGTTAATGTAAACGTAGCACATGTATGAAACGTGTACGCGTATCATAGCTTTTATCATTTTATTAACATATCTCGACAAACGAACTTTGATGTCAAAGAAATAACTACATATTACTGTCAAATTGATTGGCCATGAAAGTGACGTAGCGTGGTTCATCGAAAATAATGCCTAAAAAGACCGGAATAGTTCCCCCAACTTCACACTAATTTGCTTAACGGCCTGGTGCTCCCCGCAATCTTCTAACTCAGAGAGTGAGTGTAAGCTTAGTCGTTTGATGGAGCTTGTCGGAATTACCAGCGTTTCACTTAATAGCTCATTATAATCGAATTAATAACGCCATCGCAGGCACTAAAGGGACTGACGTTTATTGCAGCAAAGCATGCAAACCGAAATGAAACTTTGTCACCCTCGTTTAACCCCTTTCGTTTTTACTCCTGCTGTTACATCTTGATATTTTTGTAATACACCGCGTACAATTCAATTTTCTTCGACAAATCTCTTACCACGATTTTGCCAAAAACATAATATTTGCAGTAGTTATATTATTATTTATACTTGAAAGTTTTTAGTTTATGGTCTAGAAACTTTTTTGTGTATGATAACTGTTATATATATGTACAATTTAATACAATAAATAATGAATATCAATATAAAGTGTTATAACATAAATGAGCAGAGAATATCTAAACCTATTAAATATTTCTTGGTAAATTTTCATTTAATATTCGTTTACAAAATATTATATTGTGAAAATACTTAGAAAAGATCAATAATCAAACTAATATTTATAATAAACGAACAATAAGATATATAAGATCATCAGAATACATACAATATAACTGTGCGTAATCACTGTGAAAAAGAAAATTATATTTAAGTGTGTGATACAATTAATTGAACACAATTACATTTAGAGCTGGTTAAGAAAGTACAGCACGCAACGAATATACGTTACAACGAGAAAATTTGAAAGAAATAACTAGATGGGCGGAGCGGAGCAGTGGGGCGATTTCGCTAGATTTTGGTTGGTTAACTTTTTTGGTTGGCCGAGGACTTACAATAGCGCTCCTTTTTTCTTCCCTACAGCTTCCATAACAAGCTTCAGAGGGTCTAGAATAGAGGGTCTCTCTATAGGGACGCACCCGGTACGGACCACCCTTAGTCAAGATTGGAGCGAGACAGGAGACGGAAAGACCGTCGTGATGCTGTCAACCCGCCCAATCTATCATACTAAACTCGATTTCTTCTCTCTATACTCAATAGCGGGATTGGCAATACCGCGCAGAGAAAAACGAGACAAACGAACGTCCCCTCGTAACATAGCAGTAATAATTCCATATCGTTGTCATGGTTAAGAAACGGAGAATTTCGTTCGAAAACC